GGGACATATCAGTCTTATCTAACCCTGGCGATCTGCCAGGCGGAGGCCGGCAGCCGCTGCAGACGGTTGATGGTGGACCTGCCCCACTGCAGCCAGAGGAAGCCGGCTATCAGACATATCACTGTCTCTATGTAAAACCCGTCAATACTCACAACACACGTACCACCGCTGGCTTTGCATTCCTGGAAACGAACAATTGAAAAATTAACGGCCATAAACTGAAAGAGATGTTTAAAATTAATGTTAAAATGAATTCAAATAACTTACATCTACTTCAAAAGGTGATGAACATGTATTGTCACTGAGAGCAGGTGAACATGTCTTGAAGGTCAAATGGTCGATGGCCCAGAGCGCGAGGGTGTTGGGCCAATTGGTGCCCAGGTTGGACACCGTGTTGAGGAGTGTCATGTAAGTTCCACCCACAGCAGGGTCTGATACTTTAGCGAAGAATGCCATTACTGCTACGAACATACAGTACAGGCAAGTCTGGAAAAAAAACATTTTTAATATCTATTTTTTTTAAAAGAATCAGTGGCAAAACAATATAATAAATTCTATTTTCAGTGTACTGACCTGATGGAATATATAAAGACACAATAGAATGAATAGATAGGAGTATGAAGGACCGGAATTGCCCAACAAGCTGGGTGTGATAGCCACCAGTGCGGCGGCTAGTGGCCCCACCAGCAAACGCAGTGGGAACGCACGTAGCCATAACGACAACGGCGCCGGACCCGTCGTGTACTTTGATAGAATCTGAAATTGTAAACAAAATTGTAAATAAGCAAGAGATCAAGGGACCATGATATTTTCCTCACTTATCCAGCTTTGCCTGTATATAATATTTTGTACTGTTACTCTGGTAAACAAATCTGTTATTAATAAAGTCAAAATTTTTTTTTTACATTCGAAACATTTTAAAATATCACTTAAAATACTTTCTGTTATATCCTATAATGTTATAATTTCATTTAAAAATATATATGTGTTTTTCGATTTCCGATTTACATATGTACATTTATCCGACGTTCTTACAGTGAAGGAAAACATCGTGATGCCACCTGCACATATCTGAGAAGAAATTCAAAGATATGTGTGAAGTCAAGCAACCCGCACTTGGCCAGCGTGGTTGACTATGGCCTAATCACCCTTAACTTAGGGTAGGCTCCGAGCCCCTCGGTGAGGACGTATAGTGAGCTGATGATGATGATGATGATAAAATCTTCATTTCAGACTACACTAAGTTCAGATTTACTTAATTTTAATATGATATTTAAAGCATGAAATAAACCATAGATAAAGTTGTATACTGACTACAGGCATTATAATCTGTACAGGAACTAGAGGCACAGCGAGAAGTGCGAGATCCTCGCGCGGCACACCCGCCTCCACCAGCTTCAGACCTGACACCGCATCACTGGCACAGAAACCCAACTGGAAGTTTATCAAAACAAAATTGATATTAATTCAAACAATTTCTAACTTGATCTGTTCATTTGATATTAAGGATTGGTTAAAATCAATGTAGTGAACAAATAACTGACCTTAAAAATATTAATAGATTTAAAAACTTCTTACCTTTGCTGTAAAAAGAACTAAAGCAAGAGTCCTCACCGCTGGTAATTTTACAATAGTTAGCAACTGTTTGTATGCATTTACAATATCTTTTATTCCCTTTACTTGACTCTCTTGTGGGTTATTAATGGTGTCATTATTTTCATGTTTAAACAGAGCCACTATAGTTGTTGTTATAATAAATACCCATCCCCAAAATAAAAGGAAACTAGATAATGTAACAAGGCCAGTATCTTCAGGGACAGTTCTCAGATATTTGTTGCAAAAATATGGAGATTCAAGTGCCAAGAACAAAACGTAACCGAGAAAGAAGCCAGCTGTTTGACCAACTGTATTACAAGTTGAAGCATGTCCAACATTGCATCTGAAAATAAGATATTTATTGCCTATTAGTTTCCAATCAATTTTTCATGACTTATAGAACATCAGCAGTTGCTTTAGTTTTAAAAATGTTAAAAGTGCCAGTGATTACATAAACTTAAGTGCTTTAGTGTTTTTTGAATTATATACTTTAAAAATTCTACAAAGAATAAATCTGAGTTATACATAAAAAGCCTGATTTGAAACATTGGTTTCAACTTGAAACATTGACTATGTAATATTTTTTATTCTATTAAGTTTTCTTAATGGTTTTATTATATACCTTTTCAACATAGTAAGTGCCCATCCATCAACTGCAATATCCTGGGTTGCAGCCAAGAAGTTTAGAAATAGGAAAGATATAGTTAGTATCATCATTGATGGAGCTTGGTCTTCAGAGCCCAACCAATCTGAGATACTGCTAGACATTATAATCATGACAATGCCGATTAGGTACTGAACTGGTACCAGCCATGTTTTACGTCTTCCAAATTCAGGCCAAAATAATGCATCTACTATTGGAGCCCAGAGTAATTTTACACTAAATGGCCAATTGACAAAGCTGAATTCGGCCTGAAAAACAAAAATGTTTAGTTACTTTTTGTTTTAGTAAATATTAATTGTATAGAAGATAAAAAAAAAATACTTGTTGTGTGTATGTGATTCCTCTATTTTGAAGTAACATAGGAATAGCACCAGCCAATCCCAAGGGAATTCCTTGAAGTGTGTAAAGGAATAATAAAACAGCAATATTAATTTCATCGCCCTTTATATTACTATGCCCTCCGCTAAAATTTACGTCGCCGTTCTCAATTAATTCTTCCTTCTCAACAGAACGTTTGCGTTTTGTAACTGACATAATGAAGGTATACAGTGCCTGTAAATATATATGAAATATTTTAATGTTTTTACGCCAACCCTTATAATACACGTCAGTAAATTATTTGCCATTTCGCATTAGTTTTCTCTGTACCTTAATTTTCACTTTTACTGACTCAACTTCTTCAAAAAACGAATGTCTTAAGACGTAAGAAGTTAACTATGTTGTTTGTACGACATTCCTGATTAATAACGTTATTTTGCTTTATAAATATTTTAATTTCTTATTCAAGAGTTGCGCAAAATCAACAGCACAGCACACGACGACAGAAACAAATCGTCATTGTCAATGTCAAAATAAAATTGTCAAAGACGTCAGACATCCCCATAAATTGACTTTTACTTGACCTTACTCTTTTTAAATGGTTATGGTAGGTTTGGTCATTAGCATTTAATGAAAAAACATAGGTACATATTAATAATAATTGTACCTATTTTTTAATTTAGAAGAAAAATAAAAGTTGTCAATTATAAAATTTATTAGCGTTGTAGATTAACTTTTCTTTGGCTTTGATTTTCATATGACCTATTCTTTATACCAAAGTCAAAGTGACAATTGTTGTATTTCATAAATTCTTATTTATATTGTTTCATTGGTTCCTTCATATTTCGGCAATTTTATAAAAGTGTGATTATACTGATAACTTAAAAAAACTTGTACAGAAATATTTCAAGTTCATACATCTGCGTTTCACCTTTCATCTCTAGATTTTCGGTTGCAATTTCTTTTCATTATTGAACATGTTAGAATGACTCGTTTGTGTTTTCTTAGATGTTTACTTGATTCGCATGCGCCTATTAATTTACCGCATAACGTTGAAATACTTGTAGGCCGTAGTAAAATTACAAAAATTAAAGATCAGTCCTGTTCACGGCAACAACGTAAGTGAAATGTCTGTACCTAGATAAAATGGTTCGATAAAATTTTTCAACTAAATATTTCTTCATTTCCAGTAAGCCTCAAAGCTAATTGTGATGACTGTATTGTTGAGGTTAAGCAAATCGGAATTAATCCATCGGGGTTAGATGGCTTTTCGTTAAAACAAAATTGCTTGTATAAAGTTGGTCATGAAAGTAGAATTGAAATTTTGTTAAATAATTACATACATTTAATAGAATTCCAACCACCTCCTGATAATTTTAGTCCAATAAAAAGGAATAAAAGGAAAATAGAAGATGAGGAGATTACAGTAAAAAAGATAAAGTGTAACAAAACTCCTGACAAAGATAGTGTTTTAAGTATAAAAGAAGCCATGGAAGATTTATGGGAGTCAATTGATGAAGGTGAATTGTACATATATACATCAAAAGGTGTAAAATCTAGTAAGAAAATAGCTGCATTTGATATGGATGGAACTTTAATTAAAACAAAATCTGGTAAAGTGCATCCTGTTGATACTAATGATTGGCAACTTGCTTTTCCTGTTGTTCCAACGAAATTAAAAGAACAGCTAGAAAATGGGTATAAAGTTGTAATATTAAGCAACCAAGCTCCTATAGGAAAAGGCAGAGTAAGAATTGAGGATTTTAAGAAGAAAATTGAAAACTTAGTAGCCAAAATAAATATTCCAATTCAAGTTTTTATAGCTACTGGTAAAGGTTTTTATAGGAAACCTACACCTGGAATGTGGCAGACTCTCATTGAAAAGGTTTGCCTAGTTTTGTTATTCAAGTTAATGCACAAAAATTTATTTCATGCTAAATCCATAAACAGTTGAACCTGGATAAGAGACAAATTTCTAGATGTGAAAATCAATGTCCGGTCCTGACAGATGATCTCTACTAGCAAGATACTCGGGTTAGAGAGAAATCTATATGAGAGATAGAAATATCTCAGTTGCATAGACTCTTGTTGATCTTTTTTTTTTATATCATAAGGTGGCAAACGAGCGAGCGGCCACCTGAAATTGCTGAAATAGCGAAGTGACCGTTGCCCATAGACATACACAATTGCATATGCGTTGCCTACCTTTAATCAACGGAGGAGAGGATGCACAGAAAGAAAATATTTTCCCTTTCCATGCATCCTCTCATCCGGAAAGTCCACTTCCACTTCCCATCCTTTCCTTATAAGAAAAGGGTGGGAAGGGAAAGAGGACTAAATTAGGCCTCTGGGACGCACACTCATCAGACGAAACGCGGAATTGCTTCCACTTCACGCCTGTTTTCTGTGTGGTGGTGGTATTTCACCGGGCGAACCTGGCCAATTCGTGCGAAGATGTTAAAGCGGGTTCTACCACTCTTAGATGTCTCTATCTAGCATATCATTTGAATGTAGCAAAGCCATAACACAATGTATAAGTTTGCTTTTATTGTCATTATTAAGAGATTAAATCACTATTATTCCTAATACATTAATGTTAATTTAATATTTTTGCTGAACTTTGAAGACTCAAACCAATGTGTAAAAATCATGAAATGTCAATGTTATTTATCTAATTACAGAAAAATGATGGGTTATCAGTTGATATGGATTCCTGCTTTTACTGTGGTGATGCAGCAGGAAGGGTGGCAAACTGGGCCCCAGGTAAAAAGAAAGATCACTCCATGGCCGATAAATTGTTGGCAGAAAATCTTGGTCTTACATTTTACACACCAGAACAATTCTTCCTTGGACATTCTGTAGCTAATGTACCCATGGCGAAGCCAGAGTTTATACCCAATGAAGTTAAAATGGAACCTTTTAATGATAACCTTATTAGTGATGATAAAGAGGTCAGTTTTTGGTTAACACATTCAATGCTACAATGATTTTTCTTATGAATTGAACTCATAAGTTGTTAGTAGCATTAAATGTGTTAAGCTCTTTTATAGCCCTTATTAATTACTGTTGCACTAGTCCATATAGTACTGAGTTTCTATATAATTGTTCTATGTCTTAGTTTTTAGTAAAACAAAATAATGTTTTGTTGTCACAATACATATAGAAGTTTTATCAACTAAAAAAAAGCTGTTACAGACTTAAAATATAAAAGCAATCACAAAGGATATAATGTTAATGATAATTTCTCTTATAATGTTGTTTAATTGATAAATTTATTTTTAGATTCTTGTTTTAGTAGGATATCCCGGTAGTGGCAAGTCTTTTCTTGCTAAACAAATAGAAAAGAAGTCATCATATAAATATGTAGCTGTGTGCAGAGATATATTAGGATCCTGGCAGAAATGTGCTGCTGAAGCGACTAGGTTGTTACAGGTATTTATTTAACTTTATTCTATTTGATACAAGTGAAACCCTAAAATACAAACCAGACATTATTTTTTTCAAATTATTAGAATTTTATAAGGCTTAAACGTCTTTAGGCATCTTTATTAACATCTATTTTACTAATATTATAAATAGGAAAGTTTATATAGATGGATGAATGGATGTTTGTCAGAAGTTATCTCCAAAATGACTTAACGGATCTTGTTGAAATTTGGTATAGATGTAGAAATAGTCTGGAAGTACACATTGGCCAAGTTTTTTTTTCATTTCTGCACGGATGGAGTTAGAGTGTGGAGTGAGTGACAGTCGATCAAATATAAAGCAAATATATAATTTTTATTGAATCAAATATATATTGTTAAGGCTGAAAAGTCTTTAGGCCTCTTTATTACCATATCTTTATCAAAGTTAGTTGATTAAAAAAATAGAGTAGATTAAAAGTAAGTATTAAGTGTATATTTATAGTTGATCCTTCAAATCAATTGCTATTATTTACTGGCAAGTTATTTTTTTTACTTTTTTTTAATAAAATTGTTTATATCCATAATATAGCAAGGTAAAAGTGTTATAGTGGACAGTACCAATCCTGACAGAGAATCTCGATCCCGTTGGACGTCACTTGCCAAAGATATGAAAGTGGTCTGCCGTTGTGCTAAGATGACAACTAATAAAGCTCATGCGCAGCACAACAATAAGTTCAGGGAACTTATGAGGACTAATCACTTGCCCGTCAATGATATTATCTTTAATTCATACAAGTAAGTAAAACAAAATGTATTAACACTATCACTGCCACAGACTTTTCCGAGTTAAATTTATGGTTGATCCTGGATAACTGAGAAACTTCTATGAGCGAGAAAAATATCGACGATCCTTGGATTCTCCTATATTCGACTGTAATATGTAATAATCATAGTGGAACTATTTAACTTACATAATTATTTTCTTTTGAACCGAAAAATAAATAAATTCACATTTTTACCACATATATTATTCACTTGTGTTATCTTGAATCGTATTTCATAGATACATTATTCAAGAGATAGGAAATTATTATTTTGTCTTTTAAATTGTATTAAAATTGTATTTTATAATTTTTAGAAATAAATATCAAGAGCCAACAACCAATGAAGGTTTCAAAGAGATCATCGAAGTTAAATTTAATCCCAGTTTCGATGATGAGAAATCTGAAAAATTATATAAAATGTATCTTCTAGAGAAATGATATGGAATGTATTAAAACTTTGTAAAAATGGAATTGATTAAAATAAAACAATAATTTATTCAGCAGTATTTTTTTATTGCAAACAGACATTTAATGACATTAATACTATTTTCAGATTGCTATACTTTTAGGCCTTTATACTTTTAACGTGACTCTCCACTGATGAGAACCATGAACAAAACATTGTTATTGCCATCATTATCAACAGCAACACATTAAACATGTTTTTGTACATGTTATTTGGCAGTGGAAACTTAGGTAATGCACAGAATCAATTGCAAGATTAGTTGATTATAGAAGCGGTAACAATACTCTACATCCCGATCACGTTTCATTATACCAAGTCTAATTGACGATAGTCTCGCATCCTATAAGCTAAATGCACAATTCACAATGAGAAACGTCATTGGACTGCTAACTATATAACCATGGATTTTCGCTGACGAATGATCCTTACAAATATATTGTCATCTCTCTTCTTCCTTACGAAAAATCTGGGATAAGAATATATTTGTTTCGAGTTAAAATTTATGATGACATTGATTGTCCTAAAAACCTAAAGATTAATATCACATAATTGATCAGCTATTCATAAATAATACAATTTTATTTTTATCAAACTATATAATAATATATTCATCAATTTCTTTTGATTTTAAGCACGCTATATAAAAAGCTGTTAACACTTTTATGAATGAACTTTTAAAGACAACTCTATCACCTATACTAAACATCTAGGCCACATAAATTTCTAGAAAAATATGCATTAGCTTATTAAATAAGAATACATAACGAAAACTGATGAAAAAATTGCTTTCAGTGTCAACGAAACTAATAGACTTCTGTCAGGCGCTACCACAACGAAAGGACGGATTAATATAAAATTGCAAATTACCTAAAATAATTCACAAATATTTGCTTGGCTTAAAGCCTCAAATGTGCTATGTAAGGAATTATTATTTGCTTATTTTATTCTTTTGCTTATTCTACACTGACTAAAGCTACGGCAAGCGATTTTCTATTCAAGAATTTATATTAAACGGAAGCTTTTAAAGCTTAAAATAAATTATTAATCATACAACTGAAGTCCATGATAAATGTATGATGAATTATTTATAGTATTCGGAACGGAATAATTTACTACATTTTTGTACTTATAAGTATAATTTTTACTAACTAATTTTGACTAGGCGCATATAGTATGTATGTGTATGAAAGGTACTTGAAATTCATAAATAGCGCAGCAGTATACGTATGAAAAGCACCTTAAATTCTTATGTCATAAATAGCGTAGCAATATGATAAGAATATATTAATTACAATGAGAACATATTAATTATACAGTTTTAGGATTCTTTAACATCCTTTATGCTGATTTGTAATAATTGCATGTACAGTCACTCAGAATCTCATTATCACATTTTTAAGATTACATTTTAAATACAGTTTCTTGATCGACTGTACGTTGTATTATATAATGTTCGCCATTTAAAAGTGCATACTTGCCTCGCTTTTGCCTCGATTCCGATACGCTTACGCGTTATAGTATGCTAGAGGCAATTTTAAGTTCACAATGATGTAAGAGAGCGAATTGCTACTTCATTGCATACTGGTAGTAGCTTGTCTTCCATCACAAGGCGTGATGATTACAATAGCCGGCTCCTGACATTCGCCATCAGGGTCTAGCTCGTCTTCACCAGCTTCTATTAGATTGTCTAGACTCGTATCCGAGTCCTCGTCTTGTCATCTGTAATTTTATTTCGAAATAATTTAAAGCTACAAAAGAACTGATGAAAACCTGACTTATAGAGGAATCTTGACATTATGTAAACTTTATTATAATTTTAATAAGCTCATTATTTTAATTTTTAAATGCATTTAAATGTATTGTGTTTAGTATTTTAATGAATAATTATCGTAGTAGACAAAAATTTAAAAATATCGGCATCTTCTAATCTAGCATACGCTTCATTACTTAAGCTATTCAAGATAAGTTATGAAAAACAGCAAATATCGCCGATAATAATTCTATGATTGTCTAAACATGTAAAAGGGAAATTATAGCATTATGACAACTAATAATTATGTATACCTATATTGAGTTATTTATATCATAAATTGGAGCCCATATATAGTTTCCATGATATAGTCTTAAATGCCCCTTGCATTGATATATCATGGAAACTATTATGAATCTAACTACACACAGATGTGTTTAGTGACTAATTTTGTTTACGATACTACAATGAAATAGTGTCCGACCAATAACTTCAAAAATATGTATTTTTTTGATAAAGTCTTCCAAAAACCTAAAATTATGCAATAACATTTCATAAGATATTGTTCGGATACGTTAGAGCTAGACTAATGATGTTACCTGGCGATGTATACGGTATCGATGTGTGCGAGAGTACCGGTGAGGGGGCGCTTGCGTCGCTCCAGAGTGCTGCGTGCTTGACGTACCGCCAGGTCGCCGCACCAGCGCTCACAACGTGCGTATATTACCACGCCTGTTAACATTAACTCAATATGATTCTATAGTAATTACAAAAAAGACTACCCTCTAGGCACGAAATAATGAATTATCTACGCTGATAATCAGTTTATGCCGAGATTACGTGACTCAACTGTAAGTTATGTAGCCACCATATTCGGTAAAGACGTAAATTGAAATAATAAAAAAAAACGCAGTGCAAGACTAAAATTATGTGTATCGTAAAATACCTGCTCCAGCGAATAGAATAATGGCTGGCCAGGAGTCGAGCAGTAACGGTGTGAGGAACAACAACGCCATCGTCATTGTTATTGGTCCTTCGAGGCCTTGGATCTTCTTCGTACCCAATTTATGTGATGGCTGCCATATACAAATTGTTGATCCACACAACCACACTGAAAATGAAGAATATTATAATTATAAACAGTGGTACAGTTTGTGTAAGTGTAAGATGAAAATATATCTAACAAAGTACAGCGTCGCCTAGCGAATTCAAGAGAGATTTCGTAGAAGTGGCATCGTATTTGCTAAAGTAATGCAGTTAATCTATTTGGAAGGAATTACTTGGTATTCCAGTGAGGAACATAGGCAGCCTTAGGGCCTCGTTACAAAAGGCGGTTGCCAGGAACGCATTGGCGAGGACCTGCACTGCTGCGCCCGCCGCCGCCCAGCGTGCTCCCCGGATACACGGTGGCGGCGGACTGCTCGCTTCTGGGATCGCTGTTACCACCTACATAAAAGTATATAAAACTGTTCATACTTTCTCAGGTATAGCATAAGCTTAATATGGAGAGATAGCAATGGCATGCGACACACACGTTCCAATCTACCGAATAATGAAAAATCCAATCTCACTCACGAGTACGAACAAGAAAAAAGATAAGTAGGATATATTAAATTATATTTGTATAGATAAGTTCATTTACCTGTATGGTGTCCTTGTATTCTTTGACAACAGCGTCAATATCTGTAGAATCATCGCCTGAGGATATATCTGGTTCGCTCGCGTCCATATCGGATGGACAGTCTATATCCTCTTCGACTGCCATTGGTATTCTACCGTTGTTACCACTCGATGATTGCTCCAAGTCTTCAGTTGGACAACCCGCGTATTCATCAAGGAGAAGGCACTCACGTTCTTCAGTCTCTATAATCATACAAAATATATTGTCAGCATTGGTATCTTCTCTGGGATATTTTAATATATTTCTACAATTTTCTTACATGTTTTAAAGTCTTTTACCTTTTGTTACTTTAGATTTGATACTCTCTAAAGTTTTTGTGTGACGAATAGCCGAGGGGATGAACCAAAGGCCGCGTTTTGATTTCACCGAAGCCGATTTAACGACTCGCGATGACCCTTCAGTCCCAAGCCGTTTGTATTCTATGTCTGAAAACATTTATTTAATACATCTTGTAGCGTACAAACTACAGAACATTGAAGTCTACGTATGCCCTAGGATGGTGGTAAGAGCAAATGGTTACTTTCTATTTATAATTGTATCAATGTAAAAATTATTTTTTTAATTTTTTTCTAAACTTACTTCCTGCATCCATTTGTTCTTTCGTGGGCACGCATCTCATAATCATGAAGTGAAACGCTTGTATTGTGATTCCGAATAAGTGGCTGGCATTCATCAAAGTTATCATGTGCGATAAGGGACATGCAAATGCCAGTATTGCCGCCAAACTTCCTGCAATTGTTTTAATAAAATTAGTTAATCAGTACAGATATCGGATAAATGAGATACTGAAATTATTCAAAATGAATACGACTGACCTGCAGTGAACACAGCAAGCACTGGACTTCCAGTTGTAGCACTCTCATAGGTCATTGACCTGGTGAGAACCTTCCATTCGGGGGATGCTAGTAGCACGAGCAGCGAGAAGAGCAGGGGGCAGAGCTCAGTGAGCGCGAGACACACGCCTGCAACCGTGATGCCGGCTAGCACAGGGCACACCCAGCCCGCGGAACGCGCCTCTAGAAGTGTCGTCACAGGTAATGCAGCGTCTATGCTGTTTCTGAAATTTTATGTACATGATATATAACCATGAAATTCCACTGCCAGAATCACTTGTATTACATTTTGTCTGACCGTGAAAATATACTGTTACTAACCGAGTTAAAATGAAACATATTTTCAGTACTCAAGGACGCCTTCAGATGTTCCTTTACTTTATTAGCACTATAGAAATATACTTGAACATATTATTATACTGAATTAATAACGAAACTACCAAGTTTGGGGATGTTTGGAAAATATTTTTTTCCGTAGCAGAAAATCAAGTTACCTCTATCAAGTTATTGTTATTAAAAAATAATGTTTAATAATTCAATTACTCACCCTTTGAGCATATTCGTATACAAAAAGCAAAGACTAGAAAGTATTATAGTGGGTACTCCAATAAGAAGGAATAAGTTCTTCTTAAGAGCGTTGTTTTGCATCGGCGGCAGACCAACGCTGAACGCATAAGATATTGGCGCCCCCGCGGCGAATAACTGAAACAGTCAATACATTTTGATTATTGAATCTTTTCCTTAGAGAAAGAAAGAAATTAAATCATAACAGAAGAAATGAAACCTAAAATAATTACCTCATATATAGTAATTGGTATTGGTATTTTAATGCTTGCTATATCCAAATTGATTAAACCAAAGATCGCGAAACACTGGCTGAATAAATACAGTAGCAAAAGCAGCATGAATGTAAACATCATACTCTCCTGAAAACATAGAAATTATTTTAAAAACAAATTAATAAATATAAATTAGGACTCATTTAGAAGACGCCATAAAAACGTGCCGTACTTTAAAGTGAAAACGTACCTCAAGGCCGCACATGAACATCGCGCACACCACCATAACAACAGTGACTCCTATAACATCTGGCCAAGGCTCCCCCAGGGCTCTCGTTTCGTAGCCAAATAGCCAGCGCCTCGTCCTGCCGCCGGTCACGTGGTCGGCAGTCGCGCTGAGGATCCTAGCGCAAACGGCTACCGCTACTAGGTGCGATAGGAAGCACATCCACATCGCCATGAAGTCAGCGAACGAACGCATGTTCCTCTCACGACGACCTCTAGCCGTTTTTGGCGGTGGAAGGATTTCGGCTAGCTTTCGCAAATCCTTGCATGTCAAAGCTGGAAACACAAATAAATGAATTAAACTGCCTCCCTTCCTAGGGCTTAAAATTTTAGCTAGATTTACATTATATCAAATAGATACTAACTGGCGAAAGTAGCGAACGCTGCCAGTAACATAACAGCGGGTACTGCGCAATAACTGCTGTTGGCGGCGGCGAGCGGCGCCAGCAGAAGCGCGGCCAGCGTCCATCGCGCGCCGCACGCCTCGCTGCCACCCAGGGCACCTAGCACCCTGGTTACACCAGACCGCTTCTCACCTGCTTCACTCATACTTCTTGCTGCTCACACCTAAACAAAGTCAATTTATTACTGGACTGGCATAACAGTGGCAAAGTAGCGGTGGGAGCGGTGCTCCAAAAACCAAGGGTTGACAAATTCAATTTGTTTTGAAGCCTGTCAAACATCAAGGGGTCAGGGGGTTATAAATTGCTAAGAAGTCAAGGGAACGTAGAATATTGGTCACTTTGTTTTTACTATTATCAGATAGCATAAGTTTCGTTTTATAATTTTTGATGTTGCAAATGCTACATTTTGTTTTCTCAATAAAAACAAAAGCATCTTTAGTAATCAATCTTCTGTATGTACAATATATTTCAAAACTTACCATAATTTTACGGTTAAAAACACTTTATTCACATTCACTATTACAATTCACTGACCTTTTTATTATTTTTCATCCATTTTTTAATTTCCTTATGAATTTATCGTAGTATTTAACTGAATTAATCGGAAAATTGGTGGTTCTACTGCGCCCGCCGGTAAATAAGGTCGATTTTCAATGTTTATGCGACAAACCCGAAAAGGATAGAGCTATATTCGCGTTTCTCTCTTGTTTTCATCAAAATCGATACGGATAGTCGTTAGGGTGTCTTCAAATTTTAAAGAACATGAGAAAGAATTATTGTATTATACGTCTCTATTTGGAAGATGTATTACAAAAACAAAAACTTGAATTTATTTTTAAAAATGTTATATTCAAGTGAATGTTAAACAATCTGAAAATAATATTTTCTATATTTAAAGAAATTGAAAAAATAAGATAGAATAAGGCAAATTAAAGACTAATATTTTGACTTGATTTTCATTTAAAACTTTCTCTTAAGTTCACTAACATCACTATCATTCATGGAGAGGAAAACTCGAGGGAAGTCAAGATTTTTTTTTGATAACCCTGTCAACATGGTCACCGTACTATTCAAGTTACTATGGCTTCGGAGTTAAAGCGACATTGATCGTCATCACCTTGCATGTCTCAGCAAAATTGTTTTCTGTAATTTCATACTGTATGCTTAAAGTTTACCTATTCTATACTATTTTAGAAATTATTTCATAGGCCATCACATCTCGTCCTTAGTTGTTAAATATTTTCGCGACACCTACCGGCTATATAGCCGTTTAAGTCCGGACAAAAACTATTATAACATTATTCATAGGTTAAGAAAGTTATATTACTCTTAATTTTACTAATATTATAAATGCGAATGTTTGGCTAGATGGATGTTTGTTAGAGAGTGTCTCCACAACGTATTAACAGATCGCGAAGAAGTTTGGCACAGACTTGGAATGTAGTGTGGAGAAACACACAGGTTAAGTATTTTTAATTCTACGCTGACGAAGTTGCGGGCGACAGCTAGTCTACTACATATGCGTAAAACTTTGTCAGTGTACTTTTTCCTTCTGTGTTTTTTATCAAAAATTGTCTAAGTTCAATTCGTCATAATTTCGGGATGTTTCGAGAAGTATGCGTAGGGTAAGAGAATTAATACGTGAACACGTAATGGTTCGTACTAAACAGTACGGTTAATCCAATTATCATTGTGACTCAATGTCCAAGCAGTTCACGGAAAGATTGTTCTGACAGCGTAGATTCCTAATATCAACTTACAGATGTACTCTTCTCTGATTAACTGACGTCACTATAAACTGGAACATACCCGTAGTTCAAAAACATAACGCGGAGTAATGACTTCATGTTTAATTGTTTTGTTGTTAATTTACCATATTTTGAAATAATTCACGATTATGATACAGCAATGGATTGGAACTAGACGCATTCAAATATAAAGTGAATAGGTACTTTCTGAGCTAAAATATATATGTAAGTATTTCAACACTCCGTTCTACATACGTATTTTCTCCAGACGAAAGTAAAATATGTATGTCTGCATGTGTACTCAAATATAGTGCAAATAAAATTTTTGTACACAGGTACATTTTTCTGTTCGTAAGAAACTGAATTCTTATCACGATTAAGCTGTTTTTACGAAGGGACAGGACAGCAACTAACACAGTGAGTGTAGTTTGTCGACAACAAATAGTAAGATCTAGTGCGGACTTCGTACAGTGAGAACGCGGATAGTAGTAGTGGTCGCCGAATCAGAAAGAAGGTAGACCGATATGGCTATCTTTAACATTTTTCACACTACCGCACAACACCAGTCAACCCGCGATTATGTTGTATTTAAGTGTGCCGAAAAAGGGAAGCTCAAACAGAAACATCTTGCTTAGAATCGTGTATCTTATGAACAGTATATTAGTAAAGCCACGAAAGTTTACATTACAGGTATGTTATTCGTTGAATTATTATTTTAACATAATTAAGCGTTAAAAACAGTAGTGAATGGAAATTCCTTGAACAAACGGAATAGATAAGTACTTAATTTTTGTTTACATATTCCGAATGCAAGGAGACCACAATAAAGTCATAGGTTATCATTTAATGTCTTTATAATGTTATGATTTACTCTCGTTTCCTGATAAGAGTAAGTAGTCTATTGTCTGTTTAATTTATCCATTACTTTGAAGTATTCGTCTGTTTTATGTTTGTTTTAGTTTAAGTAATATTTCTGTGACAGGATGAATAAAAGGCTCTTTTATTCGTATGTCTTGAGGTACAATGTAGATAACACCTACTCGTTTCTATTAAAGACGATGTCTTGAAGACAGTTGTAATATTTTATTCTCTTTGCATTATTAGGAAACGCTCTACGACGACAAAAAACGTTGTTTTCAACTCGATACGAAAATACTATTGTTGCGAATAATGTAATAAAAAAAGAATATGAATTGCTTTCATTTACGATTTATATTGTTATCTCTTTTTTTTTCAAAAGGGATAAGAGGGATGGTAATATGCTGCCTACAGTTGTTTCGAGAGTACACACGGTAAAATAATTTGCTTAATGTATCTTACTAAAGTATGATTAAATCTTTCAACTGTCCTGAACTGTGCTTATTTCAGACTAGATTTTGACCGCGACTTAATCTGCGTGAAATTAGAAAATAATACCTAATTAGTAGTCTTTATTATATTAGTAAGATATACTTAGAGCAATGGCGGGATTTTTTTTTCAAAATAGAAGAATTTTAAAATAAAAATGGAAGGTAAACCACTTGAAGGTTACTTGTTCTTGTTAGGGTTTTAAAAATAATTTTCTCTGGAAAACAGTAAGTAAGCATACCATGTTAATGGGGTTAAATTGTTTTAATTACGACTGTTAAGAGGGTTTTCCGCTTTGTAATCTAAATAGTACCTGGCTAAACCACCCTTTAAGAGATTATTTGTTAGAATAAACTCTAGTAGAAGAAAGCGTGTGGGTGGGTCCTTTATAAACAGCGGGAGCGTCAGAGAATCCAGACATTTGACGGAATCGCTTAGCATAGTGTACACGTCAAAAGAGCGTCTAAAAATTCGCGGGAAAATAAGTGACACCGAAAATCATTCGTGATCTGTGAAAATGAAGTTTAATAATTTGTGTATACTATTTATCGTGATTGTTTGTTTGGTTTCTTTTAATTATTCTCATCCTGCGCCGAGTGAGAGTATTGATTATGTGAGTAATTTTATTTTTTATTTTAATTAAATACACTATCGTTAAGTTTGTTAAGCTCTGTGAATTATTATTCTAATTTCCTCGTGTGTTTTCTTTTCGAACATCCTGTATTTTAAACTTCTATCGTATACTTTATTTCATACGTACTCCTTGGAAGGCCATCCGTCTTTCTTAAAAACTTTCCATTATTTACAACTGCAATTTTCTTTATATTTTAGGATACCCAGTTGTTAATAACTTAAAATATTAACTCGGAATTTGTTTAAAATTATTTTCAGTTATGACCAATTTGTATCTTACTGATTTTGATATATTCCAGTTATTATCACATGACATTTAAACGATATACATTAAAGACCTACGATTTCCACTATAGTGGGTCCATGATAAACTTTTTGTCAGTTCAAAATAATTTACCTCAGACGAAAATCGAACTCTTAACCTCTTAATCCTAAATCTAAACAATGTAACCAATATTTCAAAAGCTAGAAAAAACAACTAGTTTCTTTAACAGTTATTTAATTAATTCTTATTCCAGCCATATCCATATAACAAAGTAAGGGAAATATTAGAATTTGGCCACTTTTGTAATATATTATTTACATTCCAGCTGGAAGCGCTGAGGCGGATGAAGCAGGTGCCGCAATGGCATTGCTTGAGGTACCGTCGCTTTGAGCTGCACAGCCCCTGCAGCCGCTGGTGGATCATGAGGCGACACTGACAAAGGCAGCGATACGTGCACCGACCATGGCGAATATTGGCTGGGAACTACTGATCTATGAATCTATTGTGATATTACGATATTTAAATTGTTAGTTCTTATGTCAAAGAATGTAATAAAAAATCTTCGTAAATTAACCTGTGTAAGTATAATGAGATTTTGTCTATGATCTTTTATAATATATCGATTTTAATCTGTTCTTGCCAAAAAGATAAAATGAAAAAGTTAATTTGAATTTCTTATATTTTAGGATAAGTGATAATGTGTAATTAAATGAGATCTTGTTATTTAGTCTTTCACGTTTTAATAGTTAAATTAGCACGTACTTATTGTTTTAATTGTAAAGTACAAGTTATGGTTTATTAAAATTAAATAAGGACTTAAATATTGCATTTTGTGGTTCATTTTTAATTCAAGCGTCAATAGGCTAATGGTTAAGGGTACGGATTTCCGATCATGAGGTCGGTGGTTCGAATCCCGCCATTCGACTAATGTCGTAAACCATATGCTAACACAAGTATAGAGCTTAGTTGGAATGGTAAAAGAAATATTGGTAAATTAAAAAAAAAAATTGCTAATATTTTTTATGATTTTTTTAAATTATTTTATGTAGACATAGAATCATGTAAATTGTTAAATCAGTACTATAGTGTTACAGATAGTTAAACCACACTATCCGGCCAGATTTTTTCCGGGAAGGCTATCAAGTAACCTTATTATGACGTTATCTGGAAACATATACTTGTATGCAGTCCAGCATGGAAAATAACAGTCAAGATATCCTTTATTCCAAACAAAACTTAACAAACATATTTATTTTTGTGTTTTATTGAAAATTCTTATAAATCGTGCAAAATGTTCTTTTAAGTGTTATGAAGTTATGAAAAATTGTAATACAACAAAATGTTCATATAATAATTTCTACTCAAGTAAGCTCTATAGAATTAAAATATACCTACTCTAATGAAAAAAGAATTAAAAGGAACACGCACTTATTTGCAATTACTTTTTACATTAAATTCTGTGGTCTAGTCTGTTGGAAAAATGTTTTTTCAAATCTTATCGCTCGCCTGCCAGTTTGTGTCGTCTCCAGATTTCTGTTAATATTAATCGCATTCATTTGTTCAATTCCATTTTTATTTTTATTTTTAACAATCCAAAAGTTGCCAGCGAAGCGTACGGTGAAGTAGAAAATAAGTTCAACAAAGCTGAGTAGACTTGCACCCACAAATAGTCCCGTTGTACCTCCAACGGACACTAGAAAGTAAAAAAATATATATTAAGGGGAGTCACCACTATCGTATCGTAATATGACAATATTTCCATCCCTTTCATATCCTTTGAAAATGAACGAGACAATAATAATGGCTGTTAAGATTGCTGTAATTAACAGTTAGCTTTCTTTTTCCTCTTATTTTAAATTTATTTGGAACAGACGAAGAATCAAATACAACAATAACGTTGACAACAATTGTATTTAATTACTTACCGACTAGATCCAGCCGGCTTCTTACCACGTTTCTTTTAAATCTTTCCGTGGGTAAATATGCTAGTACTATCTCGATATTTGCTTTTTTCTCTTTGCTTTTATGGCTGAAAAACATCTGAATGTACATACGAACTAAAGGCACAATTAAATAAAAATAAATGTAAAGAAATTAATGGCATAAACAAAATTTAATGGTACAAAGAAAATTATATATAACCGAAGAAAACCCTCATTATTGATATGCGCTAGCTTTTTATCAAAGAAAATTAGTAACGTATTTTATATACTGGGCTATAACACTAAACTTGTATAAAACAAGAGTATGTCGTATGCAAACTTTGCTTACAAACTCTGTACCATTTTCCATTTAACTTTATGCTTCTCTCAGAGCAAGTAAACAATTTAAGCGCTTTAGAGCGAAACGACAAATAACAGAATGTAATATTTACTTAGGTTCAAGAGGAATATCTTCTATTTTAATATTATTTATAGCAACTATAAGGTACAATTTATGTTATTTTATGCTGAAAAGTTATTAAAGTTAAAAGATTATTTTTAACAACTTGACGATTTTAATGTCAATCTGCTGAGCCACAATTATCGGATAGAATTTTAGTGAATATCTTTTTATATTTTCTTTTCCTAGACATATGTGACCTTCTGTAGCCTTATTGTCTTGATCGATTTCGAAGACTGAGGTGTCATTTAATTTATATTGTTCAGAGTGTCATTGTCGTAGAATCAGTTGGGACAATTTATTATAACTTAAATCAATTCATCATCATCAGCTCCCTATACGTCCCCACCGAGGGGCTCGGAGCCTACCCTAAGTTAAGGGTGATTAGGCCATAGTTATTACGCTGGCCAAGTGCGGGTTGGTTGACTTCACACATATCTTTAATTCTGTCATGGATAAGCCGTTTGTGCAAGACGTCTGGTTAGGTAATCCAACGTATAATGTTGTAACTTACGAACTAACAACATCTTTAATGATAGTTATCTCAGTTTCGTCGCAAGAGGGCAGGCAGTGGCAGGTCATGCCGCGTCGGTGCAGTGCCCACTGCGGCTTGAGTATTGTTAATTCACTCTCATGTGTATGCAGACACAACATACCTGTTATGTTGCAATGCTCTGATACACCTGCAATAATCATTCATATTCGAATTCACCAAGTAATAATGTAAAGGTGCATAATGCAAGAAATATTTTATAAAAAGTATTTACTAGTGGCCAACATGAAATGGTCGTTGCAGTGACAGATGCGCTGCTGCGCGCGTTTGCGGCAAAGAACCGTGCAGGCGCTGTACGAGTATAGTGGATAGGGTCCGTCGTTCTCGGAATGCAAGCGGCAAGCGCGTTGCTCCGGTTTCGTCTCTACCACCAATGGGTCGTTCTCGATGTTTCTTACAGTCAGTTGACGCCTGGAATATGACAACATCGTTTCTGTAATTGTACACAGGTGTTCCAAATTTGAACGTCAAACGGAAGAGATGTTCGAAAAAGGAAAAGAAAACAAGAGAATATGCATCGGTTTTTAATTTCTTACCGATAACTGTGTCCAAGCTTAATTTTTAATGTCGAATATTTTGACGATGTTATAGTGGGAACTTCATCTTCTCCTAGAGTGTATATCTTAAAAAAAATATAATCTCTTTTATGATATCACTCAATCGAAACTTTCTTTAGAAAAAACTTTTTCTTACCATGGAAGGCAATAAAACATCAAACTTAAGTACTCCGCGTTTTTGTTTCATGTTTACGACCATTTTATATGGATTGGGTTTTCTGAAATTAATCAAATTTACTCAACAAAAGCTTAAAAACAACGAGACTAACATTAGAATACAATTATGTCTCAAGTTACTGTTTCCCATTGATTATCTTTAATCTTAGACGTAGACAATGAGACCATTGATTACGTCGATGTGTCTAGAATGTAGCTAAACTACTTTCTAAAAATATACAGTAAACAAACAGTCTTACTTAGTCTGTATAGAATTCATAATATAGCAAGTCCCCATATCCGTGTCTATGGGCTGAAAGTACTGGCAGCAATCAAAATCCTGGTCATTATAGGAACAGTTGGTCAACGTCTGTCGACATCCACTTCTCACCAGTTTCGCATAGTAACTGTAGTTCGAAGTTTGACAGAAGGGATCTGGATTATTATTTTTGTAACAGACATCGATTAATCTGTAGCAAGAACCACGGAAATATGCGACATCTTTTAGCGCATCTTCAAGATCCAAAAGATGATTCGGTGTCCAGATTCTAAAATATTAAAAGTGAGTGAACAGAGATAGTTGTATTTAGAATGGCAACTTTATTAATTTTTAATTGGTATTTCTATTTCTTAACAAGTATATTTAAATTCAAACATACTTTTGGGACGCTTTTCCAAGAGCTTGGTAAGTGTACTGAAGATAAAATAATGTAATTAAATTTTCGTTTCTAATTATTTTGTGATAAAAAATTAAGCTATTTATTATTGACATAAATGTTGAGGGTAGTTAGGATTATATGATACTAACGTGTCAGAAACGTTGTAGATCATAAGTTTGTTATTCGCTTCACAGATGGCGACTGCTGGCAGCTTAGTGTCCCAGTCTGTGTACGTTGTCTCCACGCCGAAACTGATGGGATTCGTGATGAAGGCATCCCACGCTGCTATTATCAATAACGCTGACCCATACCAGGAAAGGATAACCAGTATCAGCCACAAGAACCTGATGGTGTTTTACTACGTGTGGTTTTATATCCCAAGTGACAAATTAAATGTAAGTTTCTTTCTTACCTCTCAGACCAATGTCTGGTATTATCAGCTATAAAATGAACCCCTGCAAAAGTACAACTTGTGCAATAATCTTTAACGAGTGATTTGCATGAAGTTTTCGTCATATTGAACCAAACAATCCGAATATCGAAGGTAAAATGACATATTAAATGCATTTTGTAGCATTTAGTTGTTGCGCAAGTTTAAATATTTTATTAGGTGCATTGGGTATATTGTGTAATGTCGTGACTCAAGTAGGTTAGATGGATGATAAAATAATATACAATTATATGTTGACACGACATTTTTTTTTATTTTATTCTATATTTGTACAAATATTTTAACAAAATACCATCTTAATGATAATTATAATAGGTACTTACGATTTTTTATATTGTGTTTTGTTTTAAAAATAACTTTTCCGGAAATATATTTACAATCATCATTTAATTTTTTTTTACTGTCACAACAAATCTTTGTTTAATATAACATTTGTTTTCACGTATTTAACATTACAATCTAAATACTTATGAATATTTGGTTACAATTACAATACTTAAATTAATTTATAGATACTGTAATAAATCGGTATTAGATAGAGGTATATCGTAATTTTGTGGACTGTTAATTTGTGGTTGAGATGTTTTGTGGTGACGCGGGCGGTGGTAGGTCGGCGGTGGTAAACCGGCTTGCCGCGGGATGAAGCCGGCATGCGTCAGGATGTTGTATATCTCTCTACGCGATACTCCATCAGCTTCGCGTTGGAATACCTATGAAGAAGTATAATATAAAAACATACTGTACAACAATGACCATTTTTTTACTAATTTCTGTGTATGTGGTTTTAAACAGTATTGGCACGCTTTCGTTACCAAGTCAAGTGTTATAATGATTAGTGAGGGGACATCAACGTCGACATTTTAGTAAGGCTAATGTTGCGCCAGTACACCGGCACTGTCGGATTTTAGTCCTAACAGTGGTTATCGCTGTAAATATATAACATATTAAAGCGTAAAGAAATACCTCTAAAACGATAGGTCTACCTCTAGCAGTGGACGGCCAGTCTGATGATGCCATATTCTATGTTTAAAACATTGAGATAAAGTATGCCAGTTACTTTTACATTGTTATTTCATCGACCAGATGTGGTTTAAGATGTGATACCATTGCAAACAAAACATGGTAACCCCTCTAACTTTTTCGGATGTTTTGCCAGTGGAAACTTACGTTAACAATTTTGAACGCGTATACTACCTAAAATGCACATATATTTATCATGGCCGCCATGGTTATCATTGCAGAACATTACACAATGCAACAATTAGTAAGACCTTCTGTGGTGTGATGTTGAAATATCTTACATCCACATCTTGATTTTGTTTAATTATATTGCGATAACAATGCCAAATAATTTGCCCTTGAACTATGCACATATTATCAAATATCAAAGATATTATTTTAAAAACATTTATGTAGAATATTTGAATGTAATAGTTAATGTTTTTCATAAAAAATAACTAAAAAGGAACTAATACTTGTTCTTTAGTTCAATTTAAACTTTTAGAAAGAGATATATTTTTCTTAAATTGTTTCATAGAGATTTGAAAGTTAATTCATCTTAAAGTTTCAATATACTTTGTAAATTTAAAGTTGTATGCGTTTGCAGTTAGTTTGACTCTTACTGGTTTTTCTCCTTCATGCAGAACGCTGGTCAGGGGTAATATCTCCTGAAGGTGTGGATTACGCAGCGCTGGACTCCGCAGTTCTTCTGGTAGCAGTTCCTCCTCCAGTCGAACCTGGACCACTGCAGGGTGCGGCGGCGGGAAGCAGCTGACTAGGTAAGTACAGCTTAGCAAGAGTGCTATTGCGATTTTCATTTTGATTTCTGTGGAAGATGGGTTATTATTTTAGTTGATTGAAAGTATTATATCTAGGAATTCTAAACCTTTTTTGTTCGTTTAATTATTAGTGAATATTTCGAATCTAGTAATAGGTAAGGTTATCCTAACCTAAACAAACCAACAATCATATCATGTTATAATTTTGTTTGAGAATCGTGTAACTTAACCTCAACGTAACCAACAATTTTAACCAGCGTAACCAAGAGTTTGTTTACGTAAATAACTCTGTATACTATAAACACATCATAGATAGTTGACATAGTAAAACCGGTTGCGTTTGATGCGTCGAATTAAGTAAGAAGAATTGTCTCTGAATACCTATTGACCCAGTTTGTGACAGCGGCGGATACGTTCATATTCATTGGACATTTCGATACTATCGCAAAGGTCGCACGCAACTACGTAAATTGGTATCATTACAATTATCAGCCGGTCGAAGTTAGAATTTGGTAGCTAGATCAAACTGAATCCAGATTCAGTCCTATATTATGTTTCTACAATCTCCAATATTAAAGGTTAAGAATTAAAGAATATCGGGTAGTTTAACTATGTAACTAACTAATTTCCGTTAATTTATTAAGATAAAAACCGAAGCTGCTATTTTCGACAACTTATAGTCTAGACAAGAACATAGTCTAGAAGAATACGTAGGCTACTAATTATTATTTTTTTTTAAATTTCGCGCTGACGGTATCGCGGGCGCCAGCGTTATCTATATAAACATAAAAGACCTTAAACATAAAAGATGACGAATCAAAACAAATGCGTACGTTCACCAATATATCAGTATAATGGCCAAGGTCGCGATGTCTGAGCAAATTTTGCTTTCAAATTCACTATCAAAAACTCACCTTCGAGAATATTCTCACAGATGTCGAGATATTACTGTGTCGGTTTTGTTTACGAAACAACGGTCATGTGAATGGCGGTTAACAATGCTTTTGATGATTAGAAGAAAATATGTCTTCGTCTTATGATAGACGGTTATTCAAATTCTGATCAATTTGTCACTTCGTAGGTATTGTTTTTCTATAGTCGGATTTCCTTAAATTGCAATTTATATTTTAAACTCTATCTATATTACATTTACCTTAACTTTGTTATACTTTTCATTATAATTCAGTTTATTATCAAGCAGTACATGCCAGTTAAGAGATTGCAGGAAGCTATCAGCTTTTATTGACTATGTGACAACTTTCAAAACAGGAAAACTAAACATTATACAAGAACCTACCTAAACAAAATCTATTTTAGAAAGTGCTAATAAAAATACTTATGTAGTACTATCTTATATCTTTAAATGAGCAATTCTTGTATATATATAATTGGAATCTCGGAATCGGCTCCAACGATTTTCATAAAATGTAGTATATAGGGGATTTCGGGGGCGATAAATCGATCTAGCTAGGAATCATTTTTAGAAAATGTCATTTTATTCGTGTTTTATCGATAATCAACTTAAACATAAACTTAACTTTTTCTATCGGTAAGATCGAAAAATATTATTCATATTTAATAATTTTATTAGTAATTCGTACTTAAATATAATTTCCAAAAAACACAATTTAAAAGAAAATGCCGAGCAAAGGTACTATTCTATAATAATAACAATATCACGTCTCAAAAAATAAGTAAACTTAATTAACTATACATGTAAAAATAATATAATAACTATTACTTAAATAAAATTTTGGGTAAGTATGAAATTTTATTTACAAAATTATACATACCGAATTACGCCCAAAACTTAACGTACCCTACCACTCTTACTACTCACCTACCATATCATATTTTACTTAAAAAAATAATAAAAAATAAATGCAACATTAATCTATGTAGTAATGACTTATAATTAAAAAAATAGATTAAAAACATATTATAATATTTTTTTAAACACATGTAGAGACTTACTTTATATTATCAAAATAAAAAACAACACTTCACTTAGCACTTAAGTTATATAATTAAGTTACACTTAATCAGTGTGTTGTTTGTGAGCGCGGATGGCTTGTGTCTGAAGGAAAGCGGCGAGAGAACGTTCCTCCACTACCTCTACCTATTGCAATCCTGAACATGCGAAGCTTTACTTTAAAATTTTATTACAACAAACTTAAAATATTCATGTGATGCATCTGTCATATATAAATCATAATATTGCAGATGTCTCACCTCAAATATAGGGTTCAAGCAATGTCAAGATAGGTTTGGTCAAGAAACAGAAAGTACTGTACATGTGTAAGTGCATATTTGTAAAAAAAAAATGAGCTCATTGTAATGTCATATTAAAAAGGTTTCAAGTTAATTTCATAAATAGCACTTTGTGTGGAATAGTTTGTTCGACGTTTAGTTCTAATTATTGGCCATTTAAATGTTTTATGTCCATGATAATTTTCAAGCGTAATTAGACCTAGATTACTGATAAACTCGCACATTAATTTCGTGTTTGGTAAAGGTCAGAACAAAATCGAAATTTATTATCAAAGAGAAGAGTTTTGTCTCCTTTTGAAATTCGTTTTCGTTTTCAAATTATTATGGCTTATTTTAAATTGACAAAGGTCATTAAGTTTAATAAATCATTAACCAGCTTTCGATAGTAAGTTTCTTCAAAAATGATTATGTATTAATCGACAAAACAAAACAAGAGCGTTACAAAACTCTTTTCTTGCTACTAATTTTGTTAGTTGCAATATGCACTCAATAATATGACGAAATTCATTCATAGTAATCGCGAGATTTTACCAAATCGCAACTCACACTCTAATCTACTTTAAAGATCTATTATAAATGCATATTTGTGAAAGAATCATGTGACATTGTTGCATCATTAAATGCCATACATTATTGTCTTATAATGCAGATGAGTTTGCGTAAAACCACGTGATGCCGCTCTTGAGACGCTTGAGAAAGGAAGCTAGTAATATTCTTGACCAGGATAGTATATTGATATTTTGTCAGCACTGTGCATTAATGCAATATTGCATCAAGCGATTCGACTATTTTAGAATTGCAGCATACTTCATTAAACAGTACGTAACATATGACACGGTTTTCGCACCACAATTATCATACATTATTATATTTTATTGTTTGCTCTAAATGTTTTAAAATGTCAAAGTTCAATGGCTAAATTTCCAGGATGGAAACGTAAAATTGGGGCTAAAGTGTCAGCTAGTTTAGAACTTAGTTTTCGCAATTTAAAATTATGAATAGTTTACATACAGTTTCCAATCTTGTATCGGTAACAACCCCGTGTGAGGTAAAGCCCGAAAATAGTGCAAATAGCACGACACTGCATCGTCATTAATCAACGCTGCATCCCCAATGCGTGACAGGGGGAAATAAAACCACCTAATGCCGGTTTTATATCGCCTTATATTTGCTCTTAGATACCTGACCAGGCATATTCATTTACTCGATTTATGTGTGTGTTGTGGTGAGCTATCTTAACGAGGCTACCGAGTGTGCATAAAGCTCGTCCCAGTCTTCTAGATATCCTGCTTATAGTATTTTTCACACAGAACGTGTGTACTCGTGTGTTCTACATATTCCTGTTCTTGTTATGCAATATTCGAATATTACGCACAGGCTCTGCTCTGACCATGGTCGTTGATACGAATACGAGCAATCTAGTTGCACTTTTATTTACTTTATATTTTATAGTTGTTATCTATGCACCTAAATTATCATTAGCAAGGCTTAATAACTAATTGCTTGCATTTCCTTAATTTATTTAGAAGCCAACACTGTTATGTATTTATAAGTTGAAAGTGATAATTATGTAATAAAAAGTGATCGTAAGCACTGACTGATTATTTAAGTATAGGTTTATATATTAAGTAAATAATGACGAAGATATTAGTGTATAAATTGTATGGATAACAAATTTTTGTTTACTCTAGAAATAAGGTTTTATTTAGAATCAATAAGTCAGATCACAAAGTCGATCAATCATAACAATTAACCTCCAATCGAGTGTCGATCTTATCAAGTAATGGAATATTTAACAACAATCGTTTAAGCACACCTCTAGTTTCAAAATGTAAAACAGAACACTAGTTTAGTACATTTAGTTCACACATTGGTGAATATCGATAGTAGAATGCAATCGAATTCACATACTTCGCCGTTCGCATCGACTTACCGCCGATACAAGAGAAGGCTTGCGAAACAGACCGATCTTGAAATTTTGAAAGAGAGCGTTAAGAAGGTAGGCAAAGATTATTGCGCGGAGTCGTCTATCAGTGGTTTGAAACATTTGGTTGAAGATAATACATCATTCTTGGAAAGGTATGTACCGGTTTGAAATTTGAAACCTTTTTATTCATCGCAATCTTGGTACCTGCTCAAGTCCAGTTTGTGTTGCGTATTAGGGTTAAATTACAACATCGAAAAATGATAACATAATGTAATTTGTATGTTGTTTTGGTTTAATGTAAATGAATTTTACCCTAAACTTTTTACTTTTTCATATAGATAACAAAAGTTCTAAATAACTTCGTAATCTCTTAAATATCGTAAAGCTGATTTTTCAAAAGTTTGGTATGATCATAGGGGTAATGTTGGATTTTTTCAAATTAAGGCTTTTTTTCTTAGTATTTCTTTGTTTTTGTATTTACCACAGAGTAATATGGATTATAACGATGATAAGTGCGTTAATCTGCTCCATTTCGCTGGTGTGGCTGACGTTCAGGAAGTACTACCGCGCACCGCTGGTGACCACGCAGATGCCGGCGGGCGTGTCAGTCAACAAAATCATATTCCCAGCAGTCGGTATCTGTTCTAACAATAGGATTAGTAAACGAGCGATCACAGAACTGGCGCGAAAGCTGTAAGCGAATTTTTATGAAAAAAAAATTAAATCCTCTTTGGTACATGGCCAGGAACTTTCACGATTGTTCTGGTGATAACAAAAAAAATAGTAGAAATCGAGAATTTAACTGATTTATCATTAATGGCATTTCATTATAAATGATGACGATAAAATAATTAAAACGAAGCTTTATATTACCATTCATGGTGTTAATGATGGAATCATTTAAAACACTTTATAAATACTATTTTTTTTTTTAACTAAAAAGGGTTAAAGAAGAACGCAATAAAATGTACGATGAGGAAGGAATGCTATCTTTACTACAGGGTCTTGGTGTGTTATATAACATAGACCCTATGGACAATGAAGTGGTTAAGCCGATGCAACTGCACCGCGCGCTCGGCTTCTACGATGTCAATGAACTTATGAGGAACGTAAGTAAAGGTCCACATTCACTGGTTCTGATAATTACATAAGTGGTCCTAGTTAGTGTGATTACGTCATGTATTACGGTGGCCCTCGACTAGGATGAATTATTTCTTATTCTTTTATCTTAATTCATTCTCAGTTTCGTTTCTTAGTTAAAATTGCTTATTCTATTGAATTTGTGGTAGTCTCCTTTCTTATTTTCGTTTGACGGAACACACTTTTACAATATATGACTTTCAATTCATCTTTTGATTGTGTACCGAAACATACCTTTCTCAATTCCAGTCATAACATTTCATTTCCTTCTGTCACACTTGGTTACTTATTAAAACCAAATTATTTAATAATCATGACTTTCTATCAGAAATAATGTCGTTTCTAAAATTACCATTTTCCTATACTTTAATCATACATTTTATTTTACTAAATATAAATGCGTATGTTTGAGTAGATGGATGTTTATTTGAAGATATATCCAGAACGGCTGCATGAACGGGATCTGGAACGTTACTAATTAAGTTTTATTTTAATTTCGCGCGGACGAAGTCGTGGGCGAAAGCTAGTTTAGCATACATAATAAATTGTAAACTTTATCATATTTATATATTTTAAACGACTATATGTGTTTCAAAATATATCGATGTTATTTGTCCTACATCAAACGATTAATAAATAGGAAATGTATTTCAAGGTTTTCTTGTATGACGTAAGAATCTTCTAGGCATGTGACCATTTGCAACTTTATAATGTGGCCAACAAACTTTGACCGAGTTAAGTCAGATTGTTGTGAACTTAATGTTACATAAACACATGTGGAATTTTTCTCAAGCAGTACCAATCCGGTATCGATAGTTATGTAGTTGATGTTAAAAATTAACATTAAAATAAATTTTTATTTCGAAAACTTATATTCAGATCACTTAAATATCAATAAACATATTACGTGTTCAAACACTTTATTAATTTAATAAATAATAAATGTTTATAGTATGCTTTTTATCTGCATTTTCCAGACTTTTATTTACTTGTATTATGTAACATGGTTAACAATTTTATAAATAAAAAATCGAGATTCAGTATCATTGAACGGATTATTAGCGAAGCACTTTTAAAAACATCTTAAAACCGAACCTTTCCAACATTTAAATCTTATTATTATTATAAATGCGAATGTTTTGATGGATGGATGGATGTTTGTTTGAAGGTATCTCCAGACTGTTTCAACGGATTCCCGATGAACTTTGACTGGGATGTAAAACATAATCTGGAAGTACACATAGGCTACTATTTTTTTTAATTCCCCGCGAACGGAGCCGCGGGCGACAGCTTTATTTTTTATTTTTCTCCCAGTTAACACCCCGATGCGAGGATCTTCTATTGCGATGTGCATGGAATGATGAGCCTAAGAATTGCTCCAAGTTGTTCGACTTCCGATTGACAATGAACGGATACTGTTGTACTTTTAATTATTTACGACGATCTGATGGCATGTTTAAAGAGTAAGTATCTCTTATAGCTTTTAAGCTAATAAAGGCATGAAGGACAACAAATTAAACGTAATTGTCTGTATAATCTTACTAGCATTATAAATGCGACTGAATGGATGGATAGATGGATGTTTGTTAAAAGATATATCCTGAACGGCTTCATGGATCCCGCTGAAATTTGGCATAGATATAGAACGCAACCTGTAAAACCGCACAGTCTAATAAAGTTTTTTTTTAATTCCCCCGGACGAAGTCGCGGACGACAGCTAGTACCGAAACATTAACAGGAACATATATGTATTTTTAAAAGAGAATGAGAAACGACATTATGCTTCTGCACAAGAGACTGCAAAAGTGGTATATACTTTCAGCACAACGGAAATAAGTCGCAGCATTGACATGTATAAATACGGCAACAAATCGAGTTTTGATTTCGATCAAGGATTGAAAATTTTGATGCGACTCAATGGAAGTGATGACTTTTACTACAGTCGTCCTTTACAAGGCGGACAAGTATGTATTTTACAATATCCGCAAATTTTCTCTACTACGAAACATGTGTAATCCTACTTTTGGTTCCAGTTGCAGTTCTCCGACGCGTACGACTTCCCAGATGCACCGAGTGGAAGTTTTTCAATGCAAATCATTAGTCCAAATGTACAGGTAAAGTATTTTGAAATTAATTAATTCATATATCGTTTACTTTCAAAAGTTTCTTGTAATATTGTAAACAATAATTTGCGTAATACAAAATTATTGTGTTTTTTTATATCTCTAGATGACAGTATTAGTTACTGCAAGCTTCACTGAAGCTTCTCGTGACATCCAGCACGTTCCAGTAAAGTTACGTCAATGCCTCTTCTACGATGAGTCTCAGTACCTCTCCTTCTACACTCACAGTGACTGCATGCTTAAATGTCGGATGTCCTTTCTATTAGCTAACTGTAACTGCACACCGTTCAATATGCCCAAGATGCCGAATACAAGGACTTGCGATATGAGAGATGTGCCTTGTCTTAGAATTTACAATGGTAAGATTCTCGAGAATTTAATGTGATTTTTACAACACTGATATTTAGATTATGCCTTGCTTGCTTGTTTTCTTTTTAATTATTATAATCGTCATTTTAATAGAAATAAAATTTCGCCAGAATTTAAACTTCCAAATGTCAAAAAATCGAGGAAAAGCAAAATATCATTAGGTATAAAAATGTTGCTTTATTTACATGTTACAATATACATTGCAGCACAATCAATCACAGTCCGTCCGAATGTTGATCAAGTGCCATTTGAGTTGGAAATGAACATTGTCGACGGAGGCATCAATTGCCCGATGTGCTATCCAACTTGTTCTAAAACTGCATACAATTATGACTTTACTAATGTTAGAATTTATCCGGACTATTTGAACAGTGTACCGGACACCGACAGAGTTGATTGGCTGTAAGTATTTGCTAATTTATTTCAATGAGGATAATCCACATAGGTTTATATAAAGATTTATTTATTAAATAACTGTCTATTTTTATATAGTAAATAAATCAAATTAAATTGAATTCACATTACATAAATAAATTTAGATTAAAAAAAACTATCGTCGTATCTCGAAATTCTTAAAAGTGTAGGTAGCAATTGGGCATTCGTTTTTGAAGGCGACTTTTTCAATCTTCGATTTAGGACTTCCGACTTCACGGAGCCAAGTTTTCATTTCTCTAGCTGCATTTTTGGGACCTTGGAGTTGTCCGACGACCGTCCCTTGAGCGGTATTCTTCACCCAACCTTTAAGACCTAACCCAGCGGCTTTTCTTTGCGTATGCTTCCTAAAATATACGCCTTGGACCTTTCCAAATACTTCATAGTCCACTGAAACTAAACCTTGTTTATCACTTTCATTGGACATTTTGATAAAATGTTTATAAACGATAAAAATTTTTCATTGAAGTCAAATTGTTTTTGACATAAGTTTAATATTTTCTTTAAAAACAATTTTGAAGTCCTTAGCAACCAGTAACTAGGGGAACATAGATCAATGAACGCAAGTTTATAAAAGAGACACAAGCGCATTTCTACACTGTAGTCACAAATAAGTCTTAATGACGTAATTATCTGAAGATCTTATGTTATTGTGAACGGGTTGTACTTCTTTACAATAGATTCGTATGTTATACCATCAAAGTATAGAACTGTTAGCACAGCGTTGAAAGTTAAACAACCAAAGTTCCAATGAATAGTGTTGGAACACGTTCGTTCTATAGAGTAAGTTGAACAACGTTTGTTTCAGTCGTGGCGCGAATTTCACCGGAACTTCCATTGTGCATGTGAAATATGGTAGAGAAGTAGCCGACTGCTACGGGCAAAATGTTATTATGAAATGGTTTGACTTGATTAGTAAGTATTCTATATAAATTACAGTATGAATAGTAGAAATGTATTGAATTCAATACAAAACTTTGGGAAGGGAAATATATCTGCAATGAGGCTTGCTTGACTATCTTCTGTGAGATATTAAAGCAGATCTGAGGCATTTGTTGTGTCAGAAACTACCACTGTTAAAATTAAAGTAGGTATAACGAAAAATATAGTTTTTTTCCTGTCGGTATGTAGTAATATTATAAAATTGAATTAAATATATATGCTTAGGTAACATCGGCTCAACGTGTGGCTTCGTGACGGGCTTCAGTTTTGTCTCAGCGTTGGAGTTTGTATATTTTTTTACTGTAAAATTGTGGCGGGAAATGCAGAAGCGTAGACGGGAAAAGTCAGCAGGGAACATGGTGGCGTTGGGGTCGCCTCCATATGATACAATAAAGAGATATCATTCCTTGTATTGGAATGAGTTGGTTGGACCAACGAGGTGGAAATACGACGATAAGATGTTAAGACAATAAAAATTTAAACAAGCAATGAAGATGAAAATAGTGGTTACACAGTTGTGTTATTTTTGCTTCATAGTTGTATCTTGAAGCTTGATGTCTTTCTTCATTAACGATAAAAAGATTTTTTATGTTAATAGATGGCAAAGATAAAATAATTCTTAAACGTATTAAGTTTGTTATTAATTCATTTATTTTGTTTGTTGTTCTAACCAGAATTGGTCTTTAATATATGTATTTTTATTTTATTACTTGTTTTACGTTCAAAAAATGTAATGTTAACGTTACCATTAAATCAAAGATGACAAAAATAAAATAATTGACACTCAAAAACTCATTTAAAGCCACACACAATAGGAACAGATGTTTGTTCTCATGAACACAATCACGTATTTGTTCGATAAACACAAAGCTCTAACTTTCTCATATTTTATTCAGGTATAATTGCTTGCTATATAATATGCTTTGATTTGAATGATTTCAATAAAAATAAGTAAAATCAACAATGTTTTTATTTCCATTTCTAATTCTCTAGCGTGAGTTAACGCTTTAAACAAATGTATCGGGAAACGTGTAAAAGCTATTTAGAGATTTGGTGGGATGTTATTAAAAGTTTGCCAGAAACTACATCTATACACGGCTTTCGATTTATAGGAGATAATAGTAGACATTGGACGGAGAGGTAAATTAAAGACTATTTTGTTTTTTTTTTTAATATGTAAAATCAACTCATTTTGGTATGTATGGTTTTCTTTACATTGTGCTTTTAGTTTCCCATTTATTGATTTTAAATTGCTTTTTATTTTTTTATTTGTAATTGTTAACAGTTTTCACTTTTAATTGTTTTTTTTAGGATTTTCTGGCTAATATTCGTAGTTCTATGTTGGTACGGTTCATCTCAACTGATAGCAGCGCAGTACGACGCTTACCAGAATTATCCCATATCTTTCGTAGTTGAAACAACGTATAAAGACTGGGATACATATTTCCCTTCCATTGCGATATGTGAGAATGATAATATGAGGCGTATTGAAGCGGTTGCTGACAGGTAACAATTGAAAAATTGCCTATGTTATCACTCATCACTTAGTGGTGTGTTAAATATATATATATTATGAACTTATCATGTTTTCAAAATGTTTCAGGTTATTTGGACAAGATCATGACTTTAATATAGAAGAGGTCATAAAAGAGTTGACGTATTATAAAGGTTTCACGTATTTTGTTTCCGAATTTTGTACTGGAGAGTATGTTCTACTAGACTGTGACAAATGGAATCTTACTTATTATGCGAATGTGGTATGTATGTAGCTATTTAATTTTCCTTTTTATTACACAAAAAGGGAAAACAAGATGCACACACACCTAATAGTTTTTTTGCGCCTTGTAAAATGGTATATGCAATATTATATTAGCGCAATATTGCGTGGTGATTTTAATTATGTTGTTTAAACACCAGTAATTTTTTAGGCCCGTAGTCCTTGCGAAGAAATGCTGAAAAATTGCTCTTGGAATGATGTCCAGTTCCCTTGTTGCGAGGTCTTCAACCCGATAAATACCGAATTTGGAGTTTGCCACATCGCAAACTCATTACAAGTCAGGTTAGTGGATGGAAATACTATATATATTTTCAAGCACCATAATTAGATAGTTAGCTTATTTTTTTTACTAGACAAAAGCGACCAAAGTTACAAATGGTCAGTAACAAAACAACAGGTCCAGGAGTTCTCAACTTTAATGTGATGGTGCCAGCAAAATTGTATGTGACTAACGAAGAAGAGGTGCCATCTCTCACTATTATTGGTTTAGATGCTATACAGATTGAACCAGAAACAACTTACAGGTATAAATATCATAAAATTATCGCGTAATTTGGTGCGTACAACAATTAATAATAGGAATATCATTTATTTTACTTAACTTTTAACCAAAATCCATAATTTAACTTACAAATTATTTAGTTAGTGTTGTAAAGTAGAAAATGGACTATAAATCCTTTATAAAATGTAACATTTTTATCTCTTGTTGTAAAAAGCAGAGAATTATTATAGCAGAACAGATCAAGTGTTAAAACCACTACGTCTTCTTTTAGGCGAATTATTTCCATAAGAAACATTGAAAACGACGCTGGCGCTCGTATTATAGCGCCCGCGAAAAGAAAATGTCGTTATGTGGACGAGAATTTTTTGGATGTATATCCTTTATATTCTTATACTGCGTGTACTGTACAGTGTAGAAAGAATGCACAACTCAAGACGTGTAACTGCACCAGCTTTTATATGCTTAACGTAAAGGAGGAAATGAAATGCGATATAAACGGTCTCATTTGTCTGAATGATCACGCTACTGACCTTTCTGTGAGTATCAGTTACTAATAATGAATAATTAGAATCCATTAATAATAGTAATCAAAGTTTTAAAATTTAATATAGAAAGTAGAACACTCAAGTAAATAGTTGAGGCTATGTATCGATATATTCTTTAGTCTTACATATTTAGTCGCACAAAGTGCACTGCTCCAAATCTCCTTAAACGCCGGCAACGCATCTGCATCTCTGGTGTTGTGGATGTCCTTGGGTGTCGTTGATCACCTTAGTGTTCTCGCAGCTCGTTTGCCCCCTACTATTACAAGCAAAAATTGTATCTACCTATTACCTAAATAATATTAAATCTACCTATATTATATTAACAGGCGTTGAAAGCAAAATGGTCCAGTCGTCCTGGTCTAGAATGCGACTGCCTGCCGTCTTGTACCGAAGCCGAGATATCCATAGTCAAAGATTTCAAAACTACAACAAGCGAGAACTACGCAACTGTGCAGATCGAGTTGGCGGCGTTACCAAGCGAGCGATACAGGAGAAACGTCGTACGCGGTTTCCTTGATTTAGTAGGTGGGAAGATTGCTCTCTATATTGTAGCTTTTAACAAACATACAACATGGCAATGCTCATGAAATTTAATAACAGTTATTAATTTTAAGATGTTTATAAGTTGCAGTAAGTACAAAACATCACATAAGATTTTTCTTTCTTAACGCCTTAAAAATATTATTAGCAAATAATCGTAAGTGAAAAATCATATCTTTTGCAGTGTCAACCGGTGGGACTGGCGGTTTGTTTTTGGGCGTCAGCATTCTTAGCTTCGTCGAACTGTTATATATTTTATTGATGCGTCCATTTTTCGACATTTACACCAGGCTGGACAATGATCCTTGGTACAAAAGGTTTGGTGCACCACATTTTGGTGACAATCATTTTAAAAACAAAATTTTCAATCGAAAGAAAACTAGTAAAATAACAAAGAAACGAGAAAGTTTATTTCACAGAAGATTTTAGTGTGTTTATAGAAATATATAATATTTTCACAGAATTAAGTATGCATGCACTTGGGTAGACATACCCATTTAATGAAATCCCGAAATGCCCCTTTCCTCTTTTAAGTACATTGTACGTTCATGCGAAACATTAATACGCAATTAGAATACACATAAAACACTTTATTTCACACAATATCTCTCAACTATTTCATCAAAAACGCCCATAACAGTACTCTTATAGCCTTCATTCATTGCCATCATTTTAATAATAAATGCACCTTTATTTTTTGATAGTATTTGATTAAAATTTTCAGTATCACCGAATGTTGTCGTAATTAAACTATCATCAAGCCAAAACTGTGGTATAAGACAGGCGCTTACCACTAGCCCCCATAATCTTTGCTCCTCTGCAGATGTTAAAAACATTTCTTTCTTCAAAACATCGTTTATTTCTATTCCTTTTTCAAAAAGTATTCGCTGTAATTGTTCGTAATAGTAATTTAAATATAAATAAATGTTGTTTTCACGGTAAATAGGATCTAAATTGCAATAAAGCAGAAGCATTACATCTCCCGCAGGTTCTTGATATCTGACTGCTTGGAAATCAACCAAAACACAATCATCCGGCTCTGTATTAGACACATCTTTATAATGGAATAGAATGTTATTGTTCCATAAATCTCTATGGCAGATAACACATCGCTTATTGTTTGTGTCACTGAGTTTTAAAGCCGCCTGCCAAACTTCTCTCCACCGTTTATCAATCTTATCCATCAAATCTTTATTGTTATTGTACTTTGAATGCTTTTTAACAGCTTCCAAAGCTCCCGTCATGCATTGATAATACCATGGATCTGATATTTTATATCCACCTCGATTTAAATAATGTTCAAATTCTTCGTTAATTCGATATTTCCTCATAAGCGATTTGCTTTTTCTTTCTTCGTAAATAATGGAAGAAGCATGAAAACGTGCCAGTGTGTTTAAAGCTTGTAATGTATGATCCTGGTCGAATCTTTCAAATTTATTTTTTGTCTGATATCCTTTTGCATTCAAATCGTCGAACACCATTGCTTCGGGGAGAGCTCTTATTAGTGTTGCACACCAAGGCATCATATCTAAAATTATTAAAAATGAAGGATTATACATCAACGATTAAATTGCATTAATATTAGGTTACAGGCACAATAATATTAGGCACAGATATTTATTAGAAATACAGAGATTTTGATTTTGAGAAGCCGAAGCGTGTTTTTTTTTGGCATTAACCAAGAATTACAAAATTATTCGCTTACCTGATATTTCAAGCTGTCGTTTAATAACGTTGTAAAAAAATACTTCTTTATCGAATAATTTCAAATCCTTTACCATTTTTGCTTTAGCTTCGTTTGTAGTTGATATTGCTTTAATAAAGAAAGAAAGAACTAATCTATTTTCCGAAACAAGCAGTTGCACTTTCAATTTCCAATAATCCGATAAAAATCCTAACATTTTGTCACTGGCGTTATGTATTACATAATTTTCTATAATTGCATTTGTATTCAATGAACAACTTTTAACGATTAATTTCACATCTTTTTCGGTAACAGTTTTTATCGTCGACGATGTTTTTAAAATTTCTGTATCCATTTTTTTTTTCATAAATATAATTGAAATTATTTTATCTATGTCTGTTCAGTTGTTATAGTCTGCACTACACATTTGTTCTTTCCGTTATGAACATA